TGGGGCCGTCATAACGCTTGGGGCCGTCATAACGCTTGGGGCCGTCATAACGCTTGGGGTCGTCATAATGCATGGAGTCGTTATAACACGTGTGGTCGTCATAACACATGGGGCCATCATAATACGGGGTCATCATAACGCCTGGGGTTGTCATAACACGTGGGGCTTTCATAACTGGTGGGGTCGTAATAACACATGGGGTTGTAATAACACATGGGCCGTCATAACACGTGGAGTTGTCATAATGCATGAGGTCGTTGTAACACATGGGGTCATCATAATGCTTGGGGCTGTCATAACACATGGGGTTGTCATAACACATGGGGCCGTCATAACACGTGGGGTCCTCATGATTGGGAATGACTTGATGAGGACAGCCACCTCATCATCCAGGAATCACTGCTCAGCTCCCCTTTCTTCCTCACATCAGGATCACGCCCACCCCTCTGGGTGAAGGGAAGAGCACCGTGACCATTGGTCTTGTCCAGGCCCTGACCGCCCACCTCAGCGTCAACTCCTTCGCCTGCCTCAGACAGCCTTCTCAGGGACCCACGTTTGGAGTCAAAGGTACTCTCTTTGCCAGCCAGAAAACAAAATCTGGGGGGGAGGAAGTTTTAAGAACAACATCGTCAACAGCTATGGGATTCAGGCTGTGGTGAATGCCAGATCTTTCCTGGTCACAGCCCTGCCACCCAGGCAATGCAGGCCTGTCATCCTGGGTGGGCAGAGGGACAGAATTGCCGTAGGTCAGTGGGGGCCTCAGGAAAGCCCACCCCATGGAGAGTGGGAACCCTGTGATCCCACCCAGGACTCCCACCCTGGCTGAAGCATCTGTTCCATCACTACCTTCTTTGCCAAGCCATTTTGAAATCCTACCATTCGTGGTGGGCTTGTCTCATCCCAGCTGTGGGGAAAGGTCCTCTCATCCAAACAGAAACTGGTTCGGCCAGGTCCAGGTCTTGCTCTTCACCCTTGCTGGGTGGGGCCCTGGAACATCCCTGGAGAGGCAGCTGTGGATGAAAAGTGAGGGAGAAATTCCTCTTGGCCCTGGGTAGTGCTATCTGACGCCACGCTCGTTACTCTTCTTCACTGATTTATTATCGTGAACTCATTCTTGAGCTCACTGTACAGTGATATTTATTGCCATAATTACTGTTTGTTCTTGGCATGCCATACTCTTTAATAGTACGATGTTTATATTGCTTTTCTAAATATTAGTTAACTCCTGGCTCATTAAGACCTGATAAGTTTAGAATGTTGTTCATTATGTAGTGGGGTGGACACTACACTGGGAGAGATCCAGCTAAAGTTTTCTTCATGTTGGTTCCCTTTTTGTTGTGTGACATTTAGCCAATTACAGCTTCTCTGAGCTGCATCTTAAACCAGTGTCACTGGGTGTTGTAGGCTCAGAGACGAGACCATGTGAACCCCAGGGTAATCTAAAGGGATTCGCACAATGGAGCTATTATTTTTATTTTAGGAATGAAAAATTCAGGGTTTTTTTTTCACCTTTTTAAAAAAAAAATTGTAAATGTATATGGAACTAATCCGTTTCCATATCAGCATTCTTCACATGGACTAGTTAGTGATATTAGTTATGTAGTGTTACATTGTCCATTCATCACCGTGATCTGTCTAGTTACACGTTTTCCTTGCACCTTTGATAGGAGTGTAGTATCTCCCCATGTGTGGGTCTCCTTGCAGTGATGTCCACTGGAGCTCTCTCTATTCACAGTAACCCAAGAGAAAAGAAGCCCAGCTGTCCATGGGTAGTTGAATGGATAAATAAAACGTGGTCCCTACAGCTAGCCGTTGGGGTGTAAAGTACCAGGTATATCCTGCTGCGTGCTTCAGTGTATACGAACCTGGAAAACATTCCATTGAGTGAAATAAGCTGAACATACAAGGACAAATATTAAGTGATTCCACCTACTGGAAATATTTAGGATAGGCATATGATATGTAGAGGGCAAAAGGAGAGGTCATCTTGTTGTTGTTATGTGCCGTCGAGTCGCTTGCGACTCGTGCAACCCTATGTACAACAGCCCTAAACTCTGCTCTCTCCTTAAATATTTTGACAGAAAGCATCATGTGGATTTGTGGTGGCCTCTGAAACTTACAGGTTGGAGCAGTTGAGATAAAACATAGTTAGGTACTTAAAGCTCATGAAAAAAAGAAAATCAGTCATCTTGTATCTTGATAGATGTTTTGAAAGGGTGACATTTGTTGCTCCTTTTACCATTGTTTTTTTGTTTTTGTTTGTTTTTTAAACCAAGATTTAAAATTGCGTAGTGGGCCACAGTGTGAAGTAATATATATTTTGTTCTGTTCTTTGACGGAAATAGTAATAATTCACGGTGGGTGAGTGAGCCTCCCGGCTGAGTTTGGGAATGTGTGGGTTACGGCACTTTGGTGACACGTTTTTAATGCTGCCTGCTCTGTTGTTTAGGAGGTGCTGCAGGTGGAGGATATGCCCAGGTCATCCCCATGGAGGAGGTAAGGCTCAGGGAGATGTGTCCTGTGTGACGTTGTCCCTCCTGAAACCCTCAGTCCTTGCTCTGTAAACAAAGGCCACCACCATCCTTTATCCACAGTTCCAAAGGCTGTGAAAACTTATTTAATGACAAGACCTAATCATTCACTCTTAAAACCTCTTTTGGAATTGGGTTGACACGACTTAATGTCAACATTCATGTGTTTCGATTTAGAAATACTGCTTTTGGTTAATAAATGCTGACCTTTACACACTGCTGGGAGTATTTGATAAGAGTGTGCTTGGGCACATGACCAGGAGGGATCAGTGCTTAGAGAAGGACATCATACTTGGAAGGGAGGAGGGACAGTGCAGGAGAAGACCCCAGATGAGATGGATTGAAACAGTCACTGGGGGTAGGTGTGTCAGAGTCAGTGAGACTAGCTCAGAGACAGAGCTATTGACATAGGTTTGCAGCAACTCATTAGCACATAACAACAACAGCAAGTATATATAGTCTGTATGTAATTATGTGTATATATCTGTTGGTGTATTTATTACCTAACCTCCCACGTATATATTTATTTTAAAAAGACAACTCAAACTTTCTTGAGTTGATGTGGTATTGGAATGGGCCACTAAAGTGGGTGTTCCTAGAAGGTGAATCACATGGGAAGCTCATCTTTCTCCCATGGAACTGATGGTGGATTCAGACCTCTAAGGAGATGCCACCTTTTGATTCGCAGTGTAACTCCCTGCAGATTACGCCACTTGGGCTCCATGGCTTAGTGGTAAGGAATTGCACTGCTAATGCAAAGGTACACGGTTTGAACATACCAACTGCTCTATGGGAGAAGACGGGCAGTTTGTTCCTGTGCAGTTAACTGGCTCTGAGAACCTGTTGGAGGGTCACTGAGTCAGTTCTGACTCTGATATACAACCACAGCACTTACATATATTTATGTGTAGATACAGATTTTCATATAGATACATACAGATAGAAATAGCACCGTATCTCTAAATTCCAAGAGAATATGAACCCCAAAGCCCTTCAGGCCTCAAGAGTGTGTGTGAGAGTTTGTGGACAAGTGTCGGCATCTGTCAGTAGTCATACTGCGGTTCTTAGGGTCTCTGAAGGAAGATCCCAGAATGAAATATTCAGAGAGGCAGGAAGAGCTGATGCTCCCTGTCCTGATGTCTGCAGGGGCTTGCACGTCTTCCTGACCACTTCCTTGTCTGCATCTCCTGCCAGCTCTTATCACTTCAACTCTCTGCATCTTCTTCTCAGTTCAAGTCCTGAGAAATCTTTCAGAAACTCAGGTGTTAGCTGGTAACCTCCATGTGTCATATTTTTCCATCCCGGAAGACCCCCCCCCCCCACACACACACCTTGCCTAGCATGTGACACATGGGGTCTCCCAGACAGGCGCTGGTCATCTCTTTAGTCTTAGTTTCTCTCAGGTCCCCTCATGCACCCGCCTTCACCACAACTGACTGCTGCCCCATCAGTTGTCCATACTAAGCTTTGTCACATGCCTGGAAGGTTCCAGTCCTTCCAGTTTCTGCCCCTGTGTTCTGTTCCTCCCCACACAGTGTGATACTCCCAGAGCACTGGAGGGAGCATGCAGGAGGTCTTTCTGGGGGTTACAGGCTCTAGCACCAACAGGAGGAGCTCGCTCATACATGTTTGTTGACTTGGTTGGAGAAACAGGAGAATCTTGGCTCTTGAAAGCTAAAAGCAGGGAAGGGAAAGGGAAAGTTGGGATGACGCCTGATCTTCAGGTGTCTGGAGTGGAGTGAGAAAGGAGAGATGCTCGGGCTTGGCTACAAAGAACTGCCCAAGCACTTGTCTGAAGGAGGAGGAATCACAGTCTCAAGCCAGGGAGATCTCGAGATGGGGCAGCTTGATGATGGGGTACAAGTGACAAGCCCTGAACAGCACTGGATTTAGCAGTCATTGTTGAGATAGGACCAACAGTCGGGAGATCAGGAGACACGTTACACTGGGAAAGTCTGCAGTCAGGGTCCTCTCCATATTACTGAGGAGCAGTGATGTCAGATTGAGGCCTAAGGTGCACTTGACTCAAGATCTCTTTAAAGTCACTCGCTATGCATCTGAAAGCCAAACAGTGAATAAGGATGACAGAACAAGAATTGATGCCTTTGAACGATAGTGTTGGAGAAGAGTACTGAATATCCCATGGACTGACAAAAGAACAAGCAGATGTATCTTGGAGAAGGTACAGCCAAGTGCTCACTGGAGGCAGACATTATAAAGCTGCTTTTCACTTACTCTGGGCACGTTGCGAGGAGAGGCTATTTCTTGGTGAGGGACATCATGGTTGGAAAAGTTAGAAGATTGACAAAGGAGAGGACGACCCTCATGGACTGACACAGTGATCTCAGCAATGGGCTTGAGTGTCAGAGATTGTGAGGACACAGGACAGGACGGGATCAGATCTGTTGTTCATAGGGTCGCTGTGAGTCACACTCAGCTTGAGGGCACCTAACAAACATAAGAGCATCGAGATGAGATTGGTGTCCTGCTGTCATGCAGCTCATTACTTGGCTCGGAATTAGGTGGAAGCTTCCTGTGGTGGTTGAGGGGACCAGGTATCGTGAGGCAATTTGCTTTTTGTTGCCAGAGACTCTCATATCTCCATCTCTTCACCTCCAGCTCTGAGCACAGTACCTCCCACCTCGTAGGCATCTGCTGACTGTGCACCGTGAACGTGCAGTGCCGAGTGGAAGACATTTAATTAGTAAATAATTCCATGTGAACATGTTAGCATCCACTCCAGATGGGCTGAGGAATGTCAAGTGAAAATTCCGAGATGGAAGGATGGATGGAAGGAGCCAGCTGGGTGAAGAATAGGGATGCATTCCAGGCTCTGGGAACCTCTGCAGAGAAGGCTCGGGGTAGCAGAGGGCTTGGCGTCTCCAGAGAACTGGAGCAACAGCCCTGTGATGTGAGGGAGCCAAGTGGGTCAAGGCAGGAAGAAATGGGCAGGGCCAGGTCTTTCCAGCTGCCGCAAACCATGGGCAGAAGGCTGGGTTTTCTATGGTGTCAGTAAATGAAACACCTTGATGGGGCAGTAACAGGATGCTTGTTGGGGTTTGTAAGACCACTCAGGCTTCTGTCTGGAGAACGGCTTAGAGTGGGCACCAGGAGTCCCGTGGGAGACAGTGGCAGGATCCCAGGCACAAGGAGCTGGTAGCATGGCCCAGGAGGGAGGTCGTGAGGTTGAAGAAATGATGAAGGATTTAAATGTACTCATCAAAGAATGAATTAGATGTGTGACTGAGAGAAAGGGATCCATCAAGGAGGAGGATGCTGGCTTGAACAATTTAGTAGAATTATTTGTTGAACCGAGAGAACCAGAGATGTACGCGTCTGAGGGTCAAAGGCCAGTCGTATATTTGATATTACATGTAAATTGAGGCATTGTTTTGTTAGGGATCCTCGCCATCCAAGTGGATGCTAAGAAAATAATTGTTGTTGTTATGTGCCGTCGAGTTGCCTGCGACTCATAGCGACCCTATGTACAACAGCCCTAAACTCCGCTCTGTCCTGTGCCAATCTCACTGTCTCTGACACTCCCATCCCAATTATCCCAGTCACTGAATCAATCCACCTCATAGAGGGCCTTCCTCTCCTGCACCGCCCCTCCACCCTCCCAAGCATGATATGCCTCTCCAAGGCAAAGAAAAACTTGGATTCTAAAATAGGAAAATTGTTGAAGAGAAATAACCAGTAGAGGACTATTCAATAAATGTTCGTCTTCACTGACACTAGCTTAAAACCATCACATTAAAATCAGTTACCTTTTTGGTGAGCTCTGGTGGCCTAGTGGCAAGAAGCTGCATTGCAATCTCAGAGGTACATGGTTCAAATCCACTAGATGCTCTGCTGGAGAAGGAGGAACAATCTCCTCCTGTATCAGTCAGATCTGATTTGACGGTACACAGAAAAAATAATGAAATAAAATAATTTTTAAAAAAATCAATTACCTTTTTACTTGTCAGATTGATAGAACTGAATTTTAAAAATACTAATAATCTCTGTTACTTGCCATGCATCAGAAAGCTGGACAATGACTAGGGATGATAGAAAGAGAATTGATGCCTTTGAGCTGTGGTGCTGGAGAAGAGTATTGAATATACCATGGACTGCTAGGAGAACAAACAGCTTCATCCCAGAGAGGATGAAGCCCGGTTGATCCTTGGACATAGAGATTCTGAAGCTCTGTCTGACATATTTTGGTATTTTGGGCATGTTACAAGGAGTGACCAGTCCTTGGAGAGGGACATCATGCTTGGGAGGGTAAGGGGACAGCGCAAGAGAGGAAGACCCTTGATGAGATAGATTGATTCAGTGACTAGGGAGATGGGGAAGGTGTGTAACAGACAATAATGTTGGCACAGGATACAGCAGGATTCAGAGCTGTTGTACATAGGGTCACCGTGAGTTGAAAGTGACTCAACAGCATGTAACAACAACAACAATACCAAATTTGATTAAGAAAAATTGAAATTGCTAGAAAGTATCTGGTGATAGAACTTTTTTTTAGGGGAATTAGAAACGTACATCAAGTGCCTTTGAAATATGCAGTCCTTTTGACCCAATTAAGTACATTCTTTCTCTTTAGGGAAAAGTGGATGTGTGCAGAGAGATTTAGTTAAAGCTACTTATCATGACATAGTTTATAGCATTTATAGTGTAGAGGAGGGAGTTTAATGTCTAGTAATAAAACATTGATTTATATTTTGAAGACTGTTTAATGATTTTAAAATGCCAGTCATGTATGTGGTATTACATGTAAATTGAGGCATAAAGTAGTATGGACTTTGATCTTAAACTTTGATATTACAGTTTTACTTTGTGAAACATAAGTATTGCATTATTTTTCATGTTTTCTCAAGGCAATGTGTTTTATAAGTTATCAAATAAAAGTTTAACTAGAAAATAGAACCACCCAAGGAATTTTAGGAAGTTCTATTTAAAACACAACACCGCTTTTGTGACTGCTAAACTAATTTAATTTTTTTAAGCAAAAGATAATCTTGTTTCTGAAGTGACTGACTTGTTAGGGTTTTGTAGGTGGCTCCTCAAAGCTTTCAAAAACTATTTGATGCTATTACCCAGAATATTTAACCCACTGTCACACTCTTGGATATGCATAAGGGTAGAAAGACTAAGCTATCTGCAGGGAGCTCTGGTGGCCTAGTGGTAAGGAGCTATGTGATGCAATCCTAAAAGCACACAGTTCGAATCCACTAGCTGCTTCATGGGAGAAGGATAGGCAGTCTCCTCTCATGTGATTTCCTGCCTCTGAAAACCTGTCGGAGGATCAGCTATGAGTCAGTTCCGACCTGCCAGCAAACAACAGCATAATATGCCAGCTGTTCTTTCTAACTGTAGCCTTTCACAAAAATGGAAATTCGAGTCATTTCAATATTCAAACACAGGGGAAGGAAAGATTTTGTCGCATCCCCTTAATTACAGGGCACTCTGTTGGCATTGTCTGTAGCGGGTTGCACTGCCCTCCCGTCTGTAACCTGATGGATGAGTTGCTCTGAGTTCCAGTATGCTTCATGGCCGTGAGTTTGAGATTTGACTTAATAATCTATAAATAAACTGTAACATGCAAGATGGTTATTACGTAATAACACTTCAAAAAGAAGAGGAAGCAAATTATAAGTATTCTGTTTGCTCTTACTGAAAATATAATTAGCTGTACACATGACTGGTCAAAAAGAAATGACCACAGTTCTGAGGGTGTTATATTTTTCATTCATTTCTGAAACAGTCGGGAGTGTTGGACAGGTCGACTGTTTGAACTCACCAGGGAGACTCAGCCTGGGAGGAAGATCTGATGACCTATTTCTGTCGAGATTACAGCCTAGAAAATCCCACAGGGCAGTTGTATTGCATCACATGAGATCACTTCTTATTGTTGTTGTTGTTGTTAGGTGCCATCGAGTCAAGTACAACTCATAGCTACTTTACAAACAAAAGAACTGAGCCGTGTTCTGTCCTGCGCCATCCTCACACTTCCTGAGACACAGGAGCTCATTGCAGCCATCACTGTGGCAGTCCAGCTGGTTGATGGTCTTCCTCTCGTTCTCCACCCCTCCACCCTTCCCAACATCATAGTTCACTAGGAGTCAGGATTGATGTGACAGCAAACAAGCACCACTACCACATGAGGCGATCATCATAATCTTCTGTTTATTCTCAATGTCCTTGAATCCTGTAGTTGTTTGAAAATGTTCGAAAGCTGTTTTTGTTTGGTTTACAGTTCAACCTTCACCTCACCGGAGACATCCACGCCATCACTGCAGCGAACAACCTGCTGGCTGCCGCTGTGGACACCAGGATTCTGCATGAAAGTACTCAGACAGATAAGGTGAGGAAAGGCCTTGCTGGCCTTTGTGGGTATCCTGGCCTCGGGCTCTGAATTCATGCAAACGTGTCTGTAAGTCCCCTGGTATCTTTTAAACTAAATTTTTCCCCTCATAATTTTATGTTGATATTTGTTTCCTAGAGAACACTAACCATACTTTGATCAGACTCTCATAAGGGGTCAAGACAACTGCCAAGTGGTTGGAGAGAATTCTGTTAATTGTACTTTTTAAGCCAAATGGTCTTTGAGTCGATTCTGTCCTCTGGGAGAGGTTTGATAGTCATTTGCCCATCTTTCTCCCAAGGAGCAGCTGGTAGATTTGAACTACCCGTCCTTGGGTTCTCTGCCTGACTTTTTACCCACTAGACCACCAGAGCTCCCTATTTGGGAAGACTAGTTCTCTTTGTTCTGGCGATAGGCCCAATCTCTGATCTACTTGTTCTAAGAGGAAAAGACAGATAATGTTTAAGACGATGACGGTGTAAAGGAACTCCGGTGGTCTAGTGAGTTAGAAGCCGTGCTGCCTGACAATCTAAAGGCAAGCAGTTCAAATACACCAGTAACTATGCAAGAGAAAGATGGGCAGCCCCCTGGTGATGGGCAGAGGCACAGCTGAGTGCTGGTGGTGCTCTTCTATCCATCAGGGGCAGAGCACACTGAGTCCTTTGTTCATCCTAGCTTGATGCCTGGGTTGTGGCCAAAGCTGTTTCATGCCTAGGGCACATAAAGAAAAGAAAAAATTGATGGGCAGTCTCTTCCTATGCACTTAACAGCTTCTGAAAACCTGCTGGAGGGTCAGCTGTCATTTGGCTCATACTCGATGGCAATGACATTGACTTTTGACTGAATGATGCATGCACGTATTCTAGATATCCTGCCGGAAAGTCAGACTTCCTGTTGGACTTGGAGTACCTTTGGTCTAAAAGTAGATCTTACACACGTGATTCAGACAGACTCCCCCATGCTGATTCCTCACAGATGTAGGGCATAGATTAAAATAGTACTTGTATAAAGTAAGGAGCTCTGGAGACTATTTTATTAATATATTCAATATGTCTTTATTTCATATAATATAGTAAATAAAATATAGCAAGGAACTCTGGTGTAGTCTTGTAAAAATAGTCCATTTGCAATAGAGGACGGGTCCTGACTCCCTCCAATCAAAAGAATCCTCTGGTGAATTGTTGGAGACCAAATTCAGATCAGTATTAATTGAAGAGTTATAAAGCTGTAGACCCAAAATATATATTTATGCAAACTCTTTCCAGTGTGTAGCACTTCAGCGCTCATCAGATTTATGAAAGTGACACAGTTCATGTCTGCGCTGTTTATATTAGCCCAAGAATTTCACTAGGAGCCTGTAATCTAAACAGTTTGGAGAGAGATGTAATGAACGCTGTCATAGCTGTGGACCGTCCAAGGTCACGGTTGGCTCTTACAACACGCATAAAGCAGGATTTGCTTTGCTTTGTTTTTCTAGGCTTTGTACAGTCGACTGGTTCCCTCCGTGAACGGTGTCCGAGCGTTTTCAGAAATTCAGCTTGCTCGACTGAAAGTAAGTTTCCTGTTACCAGAAACATATCAGAAAGACTGTCAAAAGCAAGAACTCTGGGCTTAATTTGATTAGGGTTTTCACACACTGCTTTGGGTTATAAACTCTTAAGAGACAAAACAAGAGAGGAGAGAAATGGAGGTCTGACACGCTGCCCACACACCCGTCAGGCAACTGCATGGACAGTCAGCTGACCTTCCAGGGTCTCCGCTTCTCCATCTGTGCAGGCAGAGAATGACTTTGCTCATCTGTAGGTGTTCTGGTCAAGCAAGACACAGAGAATTTGAGGGAGTCATCCTTTATCTCGACAGAGTTCAGGTGGCTGCTGGTAGGGAAATGTGCCTCCAACCCAAAGATACAGGGTTCAAGTTTACCAGCTGCTTCTTGGGAGAAAGATGAGCAATCTCCTGACGTGCAGCCTCTGAAAACCTGCCGGAGGGTCAGCGAGGATTCAGTTCAGGGCCACTGGCAGCAGGTTGTTGTCATTTTTTAAAGAAAAGTGTTTTCATGAAACTAATTTTTTAAAAATTGAGCTCTCTGTATTTGTTGAAGTGAGAGGCAACAGAAATGGGCCTTGAAACACTTGGTCTTCATTCTTACGCTCCTGAGAGTTTTCTGATGCTCTCTGATGCTCTCTGATACTTGCATTCTAGTCATCACATTGATTTTCCCTAGTTCTTTTTCATGCCTTTCAGTATAATCCTTCAGTGGTATAATTCATAGCCACTGGTTGGCCCAAAGGCCTTCCTTTGGTTCTCACTGAGGTGAGTTCATTAATTGAGGATTCTAGGACATAATTCTGGGCAGCTTGAGCATGTAGAATTTGTTTCCCCACATATATTTTTCTTTCAACTTTGTCATTTAAAACTCCTTAGAATGTTTGAAAGTTTCCTTTATGGAAATAAAACCAAATCGAACAAACCAAAAGCCTAAGTAGTTACCATCAAGTTCTCACTTGTGGCAACTCCATGATTGTCAGCACAGAACTACACGCTATTAGATTTTCATAGTGAGCAGATGACCAGACCTTTCTTCCATGTCACAGGTGTGTTTGAATGGCCAACTTCCCAGTGAGTAGTCAAGTTCTTAAAAAAAAAACAACAAACAAGCAAAACCAGGCTTCTTTTTCTTATTGTTGTTGTTAAGTGCTGTCGAGTCACAGGCGACTCATAGTAACCCTATGAAGGAGAGTCCTTGACGCTTGGTTGCCTTTCATCCTCTCTCCAAGTACATAGGGTTTCTGGAGGCAAGCTATTATGGAAGTGAATGCCACTCCTTCCAATCTTGTTTAATCGGGGAGCTCCACCCCACTCTCAGTCCGCATTGGGTAGCCAAACATTAACACATTTGACACATCCGTGTCACAGTGTTCAGCCTCACAGCAACCACAAGTGACCATGGGACGGCAACTTGTACACCAGGGCTATACGACCTAGAGGAATGTCTGAACAAAAACAATGAAAGACTGGCCTGAGGGCCGTGAACTAAAAGTCACCCACCTTTGTCTCCAGCTGATAGCTCTCTCTCTCTCTCTCTGTTCTTTTTCCTACACTGACAAATAATTTGTTGAGCCAGATTTGACATAGACTTTACTTGAATGACTGACGCGTGCTTATAAATATGACATGAGGAATTGGAGTGTTGCACCTGAAGATGGCAGCTTCACCTCTGTTGGGCACGGAGCAGCCTGGAAGCCCACGTTTGGGCCAAAAGCTGACAGCACAAGCATTCTCTTTCGGCAGCCGACAATGCTGTATTTTCACATGTCATTTTGTGGGCATGTGACCATTTGTCAGTGTCTTCTGTCTGATGTACTTGGACGTAACGTATTTATTTATGTGAGTTGACCTAATTTAAGATTTCTTTGAGATTCAGTTTAGGGTTTCTTTCAGAAGGCTTCACTGGTTGTGGATGGATGCTGTCATTTTTGGTACCTTTTTCTTTCTGTCTTTTCTAAACCATCCTGCATGTTGCCTTTGACATCACTAGAAGCTGGGCATCCTTAAGACGGACCCGAACACCCTGACAGAAGAGGAGGTGAGCAGATTTGCCCGACTTAACATTGACCCCGAGACCATCACCTGGCAGCGAGGTGAGTGATGGGAGGTGAACTGGGGTGAGAGTGAGCCGAGTTCAGGGTTGTGTCCTGGGGAGACCCCAGCGAGATGATTGAGATCAATTTCACAAATTCACGATTGTGCTCCAGCCTGTGTTCATGCACCCACACCCTTCATTGCAACCCCTCTTCCTTCACCCTGCTCTTCTGTGGTTCTTGCTTTCCGCTGAGAGTCTGTGTCCTTTCTTGTTTTAAGGTCATTTCCTGTGAGTGGACTCAATCCTGTCCACCCCCATCTCATCCTAGGACCTATTAGTCTTCAAGAACCTCTTATCTCATTTTAAAAAATGCCTGTTTCTCTCCTCTGTCATCCCTAGTCATTGCCCAGCCTTCTGATGCATAACAGGTAATTGCTATGATCTTCGCATTTACGTGCTATGTATCAGAGAGCTGGACAGTGATAAAGTATGATAGATGATAGAAGACAAATCAATGCCTTTGAGTTGTGGTACTGAAAAAGAGTATCGAACATGCCATAGACTGCCAAGAGAACAAATAGGTCTGTCCTGGAGTGGGTAAAACCAGGCTTCTACTTGGAGGCAAGGATTTTGAAGCTCCATCTCATATACTTTAGGCATGGGCCAGGAGGGGTCAGCTCCTGGGGAGGGACATCATGCTTGTAAGGGTGGAGGGACAGTTCAGGAGGAGACGACCCTGGGTGAGATGGATTGACTCAGTAACTGGGGCAATGGGCTTAGGTGTGTCAGAGGCAGTGAGATTGGGTCAAGATAAGATTCAGACCTATTGTGCAAAGGGTTGCTATGAATTGCAGACAACTCAACAGCACATAGCAAAAACATGAACTGCGAAAACAAACAGAAATTTAGTGACTTGCCTTACTATATAGAGAGGCAGGATGGAGATGGTAGTATGTTTCTTGCAGGAATGAAATCCGGCACATGAAGAACCTATGTCTGTGAGAGAGCGAGAGAGAGAGAGAGAGAGAGAGAGAGAGTTGTTATCGTCATGGCAACCTTACAGACAAGCTTGGATAGTGTTAGGTGGTGTGAGTCCTGAGTCCTTTCTCTGTTGTACTTCTCACATCTGTCCCCCTCTCCTCTTTGCCATTTCTCCCCGGTCTCAGCAAGTTTTTCCCAGATGCCTCATTAACTGAGCTGCTTTTTAATAGCTATTCTTGCTTTATTTCTATGCACTCACCTCACTGTGGTTGTTATTGTTAAGGACCATGACATCGACACCAGCTGAGAGCTTCCTTATGAACAACACCTATCACTCGGCCCGTCCTGTCCTGTCCCTCCCACCTCTCATACGTTCCAGCCCATTGTTACCGCGCCTGTGTCTGTCCATCTCGTTGAGGGTCTTCTTTTCTTTTTTTTTAAAAAAAAATTTATACTGGTTTACATACATAACGTTCATAAAGTTAATATACATTGTTCTTCACACCAGACCTTTCTTCCTCTTCTTATCCTTTTTTTACCAGTGGTGTCTCTCTGGAGACTAAGGTGCATCTGATACAGGCGATGGTCTTTGCTATCACTTGTTATGGATCAGAGAGCTGGACAATGACTAGGGAGGACAGAAGGAGAATTGATGCCTTTGAGCTGTGGTGCTGGAGAAGAGTGTTGAGGGTACCATGGACTGCTAGGAAAACAAACAGATATTCATCCTGGAGAAGGTCAATCTTGGCGGCTCCTTGGAGGCAAGGATTCTGAGGCTCCATCTAACATACTTTGGACATGTTGTAAGGAGGGACCGGTCCTTGGAGAGGGATGTCATGCTTGGTAGGGTGGAGGGACAGCACAGGAGGGGAAGACCCTCTATGAGGTGGATTGATTCAGTGATTGGGGTAATCGGGATGGGTATATCAGAGACAGTGCGATTAGCACAGGACAGAGCAGAGTTTAGGGCTGTTGTACATAGGATCGCTGTGAGTCACAAATGACTCGATGGCACATAACGACAACAGCATGACCTTCCACCTTTCCTTGCGGGATGTCCTTTTCTAAGGACTGTGCTTCCCTGACTGTGTACCGAGAGTTGCTCATAAATACAGCATTTTTTTTGTCACTTCCTTACTCCAAAGCCTTCCACAGCTGCCCACATCTTGTGTGATAAATCACCCTCACAGGCACACCTCCGCTTCCTGCACTCTGCATTAATTTCCTTACTAATACTGCCTCACCGCCCTGCAAATTTGAAAGTTTGTGGCACCCCGACATCAAGCAAGTCCGTTAGAGCCCTTTTTCCAACAGCACGGACTCCTCCGTGTCGAGACAGCAACAGCCCAAGTCTCACTTCCCACAAAGTTGCTTTGGATCCATTCAACCAATTCATGAAGAATTATTTGTTTTCCCACCTGACTCACTGTCCTTGGAGCTCTCCACAGTTACTGACTCAGTTTCCTCGTCTTTACAGTGGAGTCAAAAACAGTTGGACAATTTGGGAAGGGCCATATTTTCATGTAAATAATGCACGTTAAAGCATTTTGACAAACTGTGCAATCTCCCTCCCTTTAGATAGCTTGCCATTAGATAGTTAGATAATGTGTGTGAGAAATACGGGAATTCACTGACTCAGGCTTTTGAAAGTGGTTAAAATGATACATGATTTCTTAAATATATTCCACCACAATGACTTGCTTTAATGGAGACGTTCTCACAAGCTCTTTATTGGGAGCTTCCATTGACACCTGAAGGTGCTTTGCAAACTCAACAGCATCCCCTGTCTGAATGTTAGGAGCCTCTGTGGTTACGTTACATTGCACTGTTTATGTGCATCGTTGTCGCCTGAACTCAGCTAGAATATTTGGAGAGATATATAATGTTGTTGTTGTATGCCATCGAGTCACCTGGGACCCATAGCGACCTTATGTATAGCAGCTCTGAAGCCTGCCCATCCTGAGCTAGTCTCACTGACTGACACACCTATGCTATTGCCCCAGTTACTATAGTAATCCATCTCATCTGGGGTCTTCCTCTCCTGCTGTGTTCCTCTACTCTTCCGAGCATGATGTCCTTCTCCAAGGAACAGTCTCTCCTGGCCCCGTGCTCTAAATATGTGAGACTGAGCTTCAAAATCCTAGCCTCCAAGGAGAAACTTGGTTTCAATCTTTCCAAGACAGACCCATTTCTTTTCTTGGTGGTCTATGGTATGTTCTAGATTCTTCGGCACCACACTTTGAAGGCCTTGATTCTTCTTCTGTCATTCTTAATCAGTGTCCAGCTCTGATGCTTAGCAAGTAATTGCGAAGACTTTGACCTGAATCAGGTGCACCTTAGTCTCTAGACTGACATTGTTTCTCTTCAGCACTCTGGAGAGGTCCCTGATGGCACATTTTCTCAGTGCAATTCATCTTTGGAGTTCCTGGCTACTGGTGCCAAGAGTGTTGATATTGTAGATAAATATGGTATTATATATGGATACACACATGTTGTATGTATATATAATATTTTAAAATATATGTGCAATATTTATCATAAAAGTAATAACATTATAGAAGTTTTGCACACACTTCGGAAGAATATGAAACATCTCACTTTGCAGACCTACCTTGGAGATAATGAAGGGTTTAGTTCCAGACCACCGTGATAAAACAAATATTGCAATGAAGCGAGTCACAATTTTTTCCCATTTCCCAGGCCATGTGAAAATTATGCTTGTACAATGCTGTAGTTTATTAAGTACGGAGGAGCATTATGAAAAAGCTTAGATTTTATGAATATTACTGAAATGAGACACAAGGTGAGTGTGTGCTGTTGGGGAAAATATGGGCCCCATAGACTTTTTTTTAAATGATGATTTTTTTTTCCGGGGGGTGTGGGTGTGTGTGTGTGTGTGTGTGTGTTTATTCCCATTCATTCATTGTTGCATTCCCATAGACGTCTTCAGCACTCAATTGCTGCACCATTTTCTGTACAGTAAAGCAAAGCACCGTAAAAAGAGACCTGCCTGCATTACCATGACATCTGTTCGTGTGTGTGTTTGCGTTTGCACATGCACACACACACCCCTGGCTTTGTGTACATCTGTAATTTATTTGTGTGTATTTTATATTCTGTTACTTTTATTTCTATTCTATGCCTTTTCCACTTGTATTCGTGCTTTGTTGTAGTGTTACTCTTGAATGGCTATAGAATATTCCAGAGAGCTCTAGTGGCAAGAAGTGGCGCTGCAATCTCAAAGCACACAGTTCAAGGCCACCAGCTGCTCTCTCATGCGATTAACTGCCTCTGAAAACCTGCTGGAGGGTCAGCTATGGGTCAGTTCTGAGTCTACGGCACACAGCAACAGCTAAGTGGAATATTCCACGCCTGTAGTGCTGTGGGTTAAGTATTGGGCCACTAACCAAAATATTAGTGGTTTGAAAAGACCACCAGGTTCTTAATGGAATTGTGTCCACCTGTGGTGGTTATATGAAGGTGTGGAAATCCTTTCAGCCAGGTCAGTTCTGTCTATTGAGTCTCTGTAAGTTGGGATTGACTCAACACCTGTGGGTTTTTTTTTTCCGTTGCAAATATTAACTTTATGAGGACCCTTGCATTTAAATGTTGATTGGGCCCTAGGGCCTATTCCTATTGTTACTTCATTTTTAAGGAACATTCTTCTGAGTTGTACTGCACTCCTCTGTCCATTTGCTGCCCTGAGGTACTCTGGGTTTACTATGGAGCTGAACCTTGTGCCACTGGGTGTCAAATGCTATAATGGTTACCCACCTTGGACACTGTTTGTTGGGAGCTCCCAGTTTAAGATAGGTTTGGAAGCAGAAGTGTCATCCACTTCCTAAACCACATGCCTCTGGAAACTCTGTGAACCTGGAGAAATGACGATAGTTATAGAAAGGATTCAGGCCTTTGGTTCATAGAGTCACTATGAGTCATCCTTGGTTCGCCAGCAGTGAACAACAAAAGCAACGTTACAAACAGTTAACATTCCTGGCTCTAACCTAAAGGTTGGAGGTTCAGGTCCTCTCTGTTTAGCATCACGAAATGCTCCCCAGAAACCAGCCTTTGAAAAGCCTTTTGCGTGTGGATCTGTGTACCACCCTGAGTCAAGACACACAGGCAAGGCGTTTGTAGTGTCTCCCCTGTGGGTGAACTACAGCTTTCTTAATGAAGCCTCTATTATTAAATGACCAACCACACTTTTAACAACAGACACTGGTAATTTACAGCATTTTGCTGGGAGGCCTACATAGTTCCCCCTCTGTTTTTATAATGAAGATTAATAGCCAACACAAGTATGTCCAGAATTCAGTAGTCAACTTTTTCAAGGCGTTGTTAATTTATGGTACACTTTAAAACGTCTTTCAAGATTTACTCACGTCAACAAAAATTATCCAAAACTCTACAGAAGTTAAAAAACAAACAAACAAAAATAAACGCAACCCAAACAAACAGAAATGCTCCAAGAAGCACTGGTCCAACTAGGCATTCTTCCACATCTGCTTTTGCTTCCAGTTCAGAGAGACCCCAAAAACAGGCCAGTGGACTCAGGACTCAGACAGAACTTGTGTGGTGAGATTAGGTACTTAAGGGGCTTTGGTATCTAGAAAGGAAATCCAAGTGGTAGCTGGTGACAATCTGATCGGCATTCCTTTCATCTTTTTATGTACTCTGCTTGTGTCTTATAAAGGAGGTAAAGTGTGCTAGTGTGTGTACATGTATGTGTATATGATAAGAGTGTGACTGAGAATGTGTGTAAGACAGTGGGTGCATCTGTGTGAATTGATTACACGGAGAGAGAGACTGGGAGGCTTTGGGTCTAGGAACACAGGGGACCATCAGAGGACGTTGGCGGCCCTGTGTATGCCTAAGATGAAGTGACCATGTTTCTTCCCAGTTCCTTGTAGTTCTCAAGTGCTCCAATTTCTTCACCACTTTTGTTGTTGCCCTATTAGATACTCAGCATACTGGCTTTAAGGTGACACTGGACACTTGTTATTTGAAGCCTTTATGAATAGTTAGTGAAGTTGTATTGTCCTGACTTTGTTTCCTGGCTTTCAAAGTTCCATTTTCGCAGACTCCAGCCTGGCTTTCACAGTAACATCTGAGTGCCACATTGGCAGTAAAGTGGTGAGCATAGCTGCCTTCCACAGTAAACTCTGAAACCTTGAATTTCAGTGACCAGTGAGGGAACTAGAGGAGGTTGAACCTCCTCTTATCACAACCAGCTTTCTAGGTGTGTTAGGGGTTACTTCAGAAATGTGGTTAGCTATCACCTTGTCTGAAATGGGTCCCCACCCCACCCCTGCCATGATGAACTCTAATATCACCCGTTTTATTATGGCCTTCAACATTAACCAGTATATCCTTGTTTATTGATCACAGCCTTTGTTCTGGAAGCAGGACCTTGTCCATGCTGCCCTCTGTTGCTTCCACAGCTCTCTGAGCAACACACCACACACACCCCTAAGGTAGGGCCTCCATGACCTCCAGGTCAGTCAGGTCTGCTGACTGACTAAATCGTCTGCTTCTTCTCTTCCAGTACTGGATACGAATGACCGGTTTCTACGAAAAATAACAATTGGGCAGGCAAGCACGGAGAAGGGACTGTCCCGCCAGGTAGGTGGCCTTCTCCCACTAGAGCGGGTCTTTTGGTGAGTGTTGGCTTCGTCCGTCATGAGCAGCCATGGCCCTCTCGCCATTTGAGGATGTCACCTCCAGTCACCTCACAGGATCAGAGGAAACTCTTTGTGTTTTCTTACCAGCCTGCACATCAGTCTTTTTATTTAGTTGGATTTCTGGGACATTCCATGCATTGGGTGTCTTGGACAAACATTCTTTTTCTTTGCTTTTTTTTTTTTATTGTATTATTTTTACGTGTACCGTAAAATCAGATCCGACTGGTACAGGAAGAGATTGCCCTCTCCTTCTCCAGCAGAGCATCTGGTGGATTTGAACTGCATACCTCTGGGATTGCAGTGCAGCATCTTGCCACTAGGCCACCAGAGCTCCCTTGGACTAACATTCTGAGATATGTTATTGGAAATTCACCTGGTTAACACAGTCCCTGCCTAATAAACAACTAACAAAAACCTTAAAATCTCAAACACATCATTCAAATCTTAGACACTCAAATATGGGATGCCTTGCTTTTAGCCCAGAAGCGTAAGGAGTTTTTCAGGACAAAATGTCATCTTATCCAAATCCAGGGAATGTGAGGGAAAACATAATGTCCACCTTGTTTTTATTACTCGGTCTCTGTTGTGAAACAGTGGCACTTGGCAAATAGGAAGTCATAAAATTATTTTCCAGCCAGTGAGAGACTCTTCGTTTATTTTGGGAAGACAAAAAAATAAAATAATTAAAAAGATAAAAATAAAGACAAAATTGTTTTAGGACAATTAGGTATTTATCCTCTTTGCTTTTTCAGTAATGAAATAAGAATCACTTTTCCTGTGGTAATTGGCCCTCATCCTGAGTGGACTTTTGGAACTTTTAAATAGAGGGCCCTGGGGATTGGCTGAGGCGGACAACCTGAGCGTGTGTTCCAGGTTCTAGAACTAGCACATACAGGCAGAGTGCAATGCTGAGTCCCTGCTGGAAGACCAGCATGACTGTCTTGGGGTCTGGGGAAATTTCTGAAAGATAGGAAGATGGATTTAGATGGCTAGGGAAAGGCAAAACCAAAAGCTTTAGAGGGGTTCTGTGTTCAGGTACAATGTCATCCCTGTTGAGATGGTATCTCATTGTGGAGGGAGAGGGGGTGAGGAAATGGGAGACCCAGTGTGAAAAACAATGTATAAGAATTTTGTAAATAAACTAGTATTTTAAAAAAAGAAAAGGAGCCCAGAGGAAAAATATAGAAAAGACTAAAAAAAATTAAAAAAAAAATATTTTATTAACTTTTTTGTGTGTATCATCAAATCTGATTTGACAAGTACAGAAGGAGATTGTCCCTCTTTCTCCAGCAGAGCATCCGGTAGATTCGAACCGTACACCTCTGTGATGGCAGTGCAGCTTCTTGTCACCAGAGCTGCCTCAAAAAAATTTTTTTAAAGAAAAAAAGTCAGTGCACACTGCAATCCCAGAGGTGTGCAGTTCAAATCCACCAAATGCTCTACTGGAGAAGGAGGGGCAGTCTCCTCCTGTACAGTGATATCTGATTTGACGGTACACACACACATACACACACACACACAATAAAATAAAAAATTTAAAAACAAACAAAAAAGGCCAGTGCAGCGACTCTCCTGTGCACACACAGAGTTGCCTTATGCAGAGAGAGTCCTTTTAATTAACATCTCTAATCGTTTGGCTTGTTAGGTGTATCTGTTCACTGCCTCTGAGTTGATTTGAGCTCGGAGCCATGCCCTAAGACAGAGGAGGCCTGCCCGTGGGCTTTCTTCATCTGCACTTCTGTAAGGAAGCTGACTGCCTTGGCTTCCCCTCCCCCGCTTAGTGTAGCTGCGTGTTTGAACCACTGACCTTTTGACTAGTAGCCACATACTTTTACCCTGAGCGCTGCAAGACAGCCTTGTTAATGGACATTTTGGTTGTATCTCTGTTGTTGGACACACACACACACCCACCCACTGCAGTGAACATGCACATATGTGTGTGTGGACTTGCTGATAATCTTCCAGGAACAAATTCCCAGATGCGTAATTGGTGTCAAGAGAGAGTGCATTTCAAACGTTGACATGTATTCCCTCATTAACCTTTTAGGAAGTTTCTATTAATTCATATTCTTGCCAATATTGCATCTTTCCACTTGTTTAAATTTTTTGATAACCTGATAAGCAATAAAAAATCATCTTACTTGAACATTTATATTATTTTGCAAAATTAAACTTGCAAAATAAAAACAGGCTGCCCTCTAATAGTATATTGTTCTGTCAGGATAATTAGTAACATTAGTTAGATTGACACAATTTGTTTCACTTTTTCCTTTTGCCAGAGTGCACACTTTTGAAATTGTAACCATTATAAAGAATTTATAGTCCCTTTATAAAGTCAGAGTTTTATTTCACTTGTTGCTGTCCCAAGAATAGTTCCAGTTTCATTTATTGAATACAAAGCCTGAGTATTTCAGTCATTGTTTTTATACGCACTGTTTACAGTGGAACAGAGGTACAGAGGGTCCTAAATACTCTACACTAAGAAGATTATGATGTTTGGAATAAGTTACATTGAGAATGTAATAATTGAAACTAGTTGTATGAAACTTTCAGGCAATATGTTTCTCTAAATCCACGGGCTAATGAAATCTCCACCAGGAAGTAGCCAGAAAGCTTCTTAGTTCCTTCATTTCCTTGCTTGTCAGTGGCGGAAATGACTCATAAAAGGTCTTGAAAGGAGATCCCACCAGGGCACCACCATTTCTGTGTAGTGTGAACGTGTCTGGCTCACGCTTTCCCCTGGGAAGAAGAACTTAAGCTACAGCCTAGTGAAGTGATTGGGTCTAAAGCCACTCTTCCTGGAGGCTGAGTTACAAGCTAGAGGAAGCATACCTTCCCTGTGTCTCTCTTGGTTCCTGTTGAACTTAGTACAGAGTTCTAGGGACATTTCACTGAAAACAGCTCTTGTCTAGTTTCTTTGCTAGAGTGTTCTACCCTGAGGTGGTCAGACCCTCATGGTCAGATGAAAACTGATTCTGTGCCACCACTTGACATTGCCCACGGGCAGTTCTCACTGCTGTGTTATGAAAATAAAGCCTTGACTTTATAATGGGAATATGAATTCTTTGTAATGGTTACAATTTCAAAAGTGTGCATTCTGGCAACAGGAAAAAGTGAAAGTAGCATAGGACCAGTAAGGTGAGGATGCAGGAAAAACCAGCTTCTTCTACTGTCTGGCCTTCAGAAGTTTGCTGGAAAGACAAAGGAAATGCCTTTCTAGTTTGGCTGATGGCAGTGGAGCTAATCTCGTAGCCTCCTGTTGATGGTGTATTCACTTAGTACCAGTGAGAGTTGGTATTTCAGGCACATGGAATCCTTGCATGCATGTAAGTGGCTAATATGCTCACATGCTAACCAAAGGATTGAAAGTTCAAGTCCTCCCACGGGCACCCCAGAAGAACAATTTGGCAATCTACTTCCCTGAACTCTGTCATTGAGATTTCTGTGACATACAGGACTTCTCTGACCACGTGGGGGCCCCTGAACGGAGGTGAGTGAGTCACATCCATGGCGCTGGTTTACTGGGTTCATTGGCTTGTATTTAAGACATAGCCTTGTTGCTGTGGATTCAGACGAGAACCCCTGTGAAATAATCCCTCACTTTGCTGGCCCCTAAGATCTAGTGGTGGAGGTACGTGTGACACAGACAGTCACGTAAATAATTGATGACAAGTCTGAAGCTAAATGCTACAGAAGCCAGCCACATGGTTCCGTGAGCAGGAAAAACAGGATGCCTAAGGAGATGGAGTCCTTTTCAGCCAACAGAGGGCAGAGTAGTAGAGGGAGCTGGACAGCTGCCCCGGAGATCAGATAGCACAGATCCAAGCCACAGCCAGACATCAGGAAAGCTGGAAAGGGGAGAGTGCCCAGGGGAACCGAGCAGGCCACCCCGTCTGCAGAAATGCAGCTCCCTGCGTGAGTGGCCTCCAGGTGGCGCTGATGCTGAGCACTGCCTCTGCTTTGCTGTTTCAGGCACAGTTTGACATCGCCGTGGCCAGCGAGATCATGGCTGTGCTGGCCCTGACCGACAGCCTGTCGGACATGAAGGAGCGCCTGGGCCGAATGGTGGTGGCCAGCGCCAAGAACGGGCAGCCAGTGACAGCGGACGACTTGGTGCGTATGAGCGTATGAGCACTTGTTATATGTGTCCTTGTTCATGGGTGATGAGAAGAATGAAGCGGGATGCACGGCGTCTGTGCACACTCATTTCTCTCCCACGCCCGTTTCCCTTGTTATTGTTTCTTATGTTGTCGAGTCAGAACTGACCCATAGCTGACCCTCCAGCAGGTTTTCGGAGCCAGTAAATCACGTGGGAAGAAATTGTTGATCTTTCTCCCAGGGAGCAGCTGGTGAATTCGAACTGTGTGCCTTGGGATTGCAGTGCAGCTTCTTATTACAGAGCCATCAGAGCTCTCTTGTTGTTGTTGTGGACTATTGAGTTAGATCCAACCCATAGCTGACCCTCCAGTGGGGTTTCAGAGGCAGTTTAAGCGCATGGAGTGAAATTTTCCATCTTTCTCCTGCAGAACAGCTAGTGGATTTGAACCACATGACTTTGGAATTGCAGTGCACTCCTTATAACTCGACCACCAGAGCTCCATAATGTTCTCACAGGCGATTATGGTTCACTACACCAGGCTGCCACCAAGCAGGGCCTTTGCCCGGTCAGCTTTTCCTCTCCTGCCATTGGGCAGGTTGAGGTGCGGGCTCTCTCTGCAGCTGGTAGCCTTTGGAAAAGAGCCATCAAGGTGCCTTCAGCTTCCCTCTGGAAGGAGAGCTAGCGTGAGAGGCAAAACCCTGGAAGCCCTTCCACTCAGCGGTGCTTTCCACACCTTCAGTGCCTGTGGGGTGAGAAGTTTAGAGAAGGTGGACGAGATGCCTGGGTGATTTCAAGCACTCTTCACCTCTCCTACTTCTGCTCTGTAAATAGCACTACATTGGCTTCTTATCTTGTCTCCCTGGGCTCTGGTGATGACAAAATAGTGTGTGTGATGGCTAAAAGCCCTTTGAAATGGATTGAAAGGTCTGGTTAGAGCCAGCCTCTTAAACACCTTCAAGGAAGATTTTGGAAAGAGACCAGTGACTACATAGCTCCCCGTCTCAGTCACTGAGAGCTTCAGTAACACAAATACCACCAGGGGTTGGATCTCCTGGTTTTCACACAGAGAATTACGCTCTCACATTGAGGCAAGTCGAGGTCTGACTTCAGCATGTGGCCTCCAAGGGCTCTTTCTCTGTCAGCTCCAGAGTATGATGGTCTTTGCCTCGTCAGCTTCTGTTCCTCAGTTCCTCGGGGATCTTCAGGCGGCTTGGCACCTCGCTTCCTCCATTTGTAATGCCTGATCTGCTCGTTCACATCTCACATGGATTGAAGACACACTCTAGGTCTTTGCTGTTTTTGTTTGCCATTGAGTTGGAACCGATTCATAGCTGACTGCCCTGTGGGTCCTCAGAGGTAACAATGCACAGAGGAGGAGACTGCCCAGCCTTTGCCCATGGAACATCTGGTGGATTTGAACCACCTGTCTTTGAGATTGCAGTGCAGCTTCTTACCACTAGGCCATCAGTGCTCCCTCTCTCCACTCACCCTACCTCATTAAAAGAACAGAGACAACCTGTTCCCATACGAGAGTGTAACCCCGTAGGTGGAGATTAGGATCTGCAGTATGTACTTTTGGAGGACACAGTCTGACTGATAACTATCTCCCATCATTCTTCACATCCTATTGGCTAATCCCATTTAAAGATTGAGTCAAGGAGAGAGGGCGAGGTGACAGCTCAGTGTCACCAGGGGTAAGAACAGCCTGGGACCGCTGGAGCATTCAGCCAGGAAGCCAGCTAAGGAGAAAAACGGACAAGGAGCCGTCTCATGTCACATACCTAACTAAGTGTGCCTTCTCTCCTGCAGGGTGTGACAGGTGCCTTGACGGTTTTGATGAAAGACGCAATAAAACCAAACTTGATGCAGACCTTAGAAGTAAGTGCTTACTTTAGTAATTGTTCACAGAATTTGCATTCATAGGATGATCTTGGTGTGCCCCTGAGGACCAAAGAAGACAATTAGTGTGACCGACAAGACAGAGTGATGTGTGTGCATGCATGTCTGGATCAGCGTCCGACCCCCTATCTGATAAAAGTGTTGTTTTCTAGACAAGGATGTGAATAAACCAAGAGCAGGACCCTCTTGCTCTCAGGAGTTGGATGCTGTGATTACTGGTTAAAACATTTACACAAAAGCATAGAATGGCTTTGCTAATGAGAAAGCAGATAGCCTGGGAAAAAAGAGCAATTGTACAGAGGAAGAGGTTCTTGTTCTTGGCGATGGTTGGGTGCCGTCAAGATAGAACTGACCCACGACCTTCTGACAGGTCTTCACAGGCAATAAGTCATATGGGGGGAGATTGCCCATCCTTCTGCAGCAGAGCAACTGGTGAATTCGAACCGCTTGCCTTGGGGATTGTAGTGCAGCTTTTTGCCATTGGAACTTTGGTTTCAGCTGGTGTCAAGCCTACAACAGCCAATGGACTCTGTCTAATCATGTGCCCTCCCCGCAGTCCGCTGTGCTCACGGCACTGCTGCAGTCACTGTGTCAGTCACTGCGTCAGTCCATCTCGGTGAGGGTCTTTCTTTCACTGACCCTCTAACCTTCCCAGCAAGGCGGCTTTTTGTGGGGTCTGGCCCCTCGTAACAACATGCTCAAACGAAGCGTCACCATCCTTGCTTCTAAGGAGCGCTCTGCCCACACTCCTTCCAGACCCTGCAGCGGAGTGTGGCCTTGGTGTTCTCAATGTGGAAATGTGTTTGTGCAGATCCAGCCACACCCTGTCACCTGCTTGCCCCCTCCACCACCCCACCCCAGGCTGTGCTTTCACTTTCCAGGCAGGTGACCTCAGGGAGGGTCCCAGGCTGCAGAGGCCGAAAGCCAGCTGTCCTTCTGGGGTTAGAGCCTGGGCCTGTTACAAGACCAGAGGGTTCTATTATCTTAATATTAGTCAGATAACGTACCGCAGGTGGCAGCTTTCTGCCACTCGCCCAGTTAGGTGGTGGGGACATCTGAACGTCTTCCCCAAACCTTTCATCCACAGAGCATGTAAAAGGTTTATCCAGCTGCTTTGGACGTTGGCTCCGGTGTTGTCAGCCCACACCAGCAGGCTGCAGCCTTGCGGGTCCCGTGCGTCCCCACAGCTGCCTGCAGATGAAACCATTCTCACCCCGGGGCTTCCCCCAGCTTTCTGCAGCAGTAAATCCCGATGCCTTTGTCTCCCCTCTGTCACAATCCTTCAGTGACATCTGTTCAGCTTCAAAGCGCTGCACAAGCTTCACCTGACATACAGGTGGTGGCTGTGAGAAAGCTGCCCAGGATGGAACCCGCCACCAAGCACCTCCTCTTAGCTGCACAGAAAAGAGAACTAAAAGGAGCCCTGGTGCCATATGAAAGGTTGCCAGTTCAAGCCTACCGAGGGACTCCACCAATGCTCTGTCTCTATAAAGCTTACAGCCTGGGATTGGGTAACACACAGCACTACGAGGACAGATCTAGATGTTCAACATACAGATACCGCAACTCACAGGCCTGCCAGAAGGCAGCTTTATTTCACACACATTTGAATGATCTCATTCAAGGGTCGTCTTATTTTCCCTCCTGAGAACTCAGGAAGAAAAGCTCGTACGGAACCCACAGAGGCAGCTTTGAGAAACTAGACAATTTGCGTCTCAAGATGATCTTTCCCGTCCTGCTCTGTGTGGCTTTCTCCTCTTTGAAGTGTGTTCAGTTAACTGCCCTTCATGGTTCATGAGAATCTTCCATCCCTCCTACCCCTCACCCCGACCTATGTGGTTCCCGTCTCCCCTCCCATTGGGCAAAGGGCAGCAGCTGGAACAGATGCTTGTGCGCGCTCCAAACGGCCAGGCTTAGCTCACAGGAAGGCCCGAGCGTGTGGTGCTTATGAATTTGTTCTTCTAGATCAGGCTGGTGTTTCGTCTCCTCATTAAGAGAATCATAAAAGCGTAGACAGGCCATTAAAAAAAAATTAATCTAGAGACAGTTTTTGTTGAAATAATGAAACTCTTTTAAAGATATGCTTGGGGAAAGTGGAGGGTCAGCAGTGGAGAGAAGACCGTTAAGGAGATGGCAGGACACAGTGACCGCAGCGGTGGGCTTGACACAATGAGGACTGCCAGGCTGGGGCAGGATGGCGTTCCCCTGCACACGAGCTCAGAAGGCGTGGGGACTGACTCTGTGCATAGCAACAATGTACATCATTTCAGTAGGAATTACTCTTGGCTTTTGTTGTTGTTACTGGGTACCAGCAAGTCAGAAACAACCCATAGCCCACCCTCCAGAGGGTTTTCAGAGGCAGTAAATTGCATGGGGGGTGGGGAAGGATTACCCCTTTTCTCCCATGGAGCAGCTGCTGGATTCAAACCACATACCTTTGCGTTCGCAATGCAGTTCATTACCCCTAAGCCCCTATCTTGAGGAAGATGGATGGGCTGTCTCCTTCCATGCGATTCACTGCCTCTGAAAACCCGCCAGAGGGTCAACTGTGACGTGGTTCTGACCCGATGGCACAACAACATGTCCCTATCTTAGTTTTAAAAAAAATAACCACTTCTGACTCATGATGACTTTGTGTTTATCTTTAAAACTGTGCTTTGTGGGGTTTTGAATGAGTTTTGGGAAGCAGTCAGATGACCAGGCCTTTCTTTGGCGGCTGAACCCTCCAGTCTTCCTTTTGGAAGCCATCAGTCATTAACATTCACAAGAGCAGAGGGCTGCTGTTATCTTAATAGCGGACAACTCTGCCAGGCAGGGCAGTTCTGAACTTAAACAAAATTGCAAAGATTACAGTAACAATTTAATTTTTAAAAGGGAAATTGCCACTAACTAATTTATTGTTGAAAAAGAAATTTAAACATACTTCTTAGACCACTGGAATCTAATTGCATTTTTTCTGTTTTAATACCGTACAGAGCTATAAAAGTAAGGCAGATTGTTTATTTCCTGTTCATTGCATCAGTTAATAGTGTGGCTTATCACAGGTAAAGTAGGAAATTCCTGCTCTTTATAGCTTTTCCCCTTCCCTAGGTTAGCATTAAATACAGAGCAGTACCATTCAACACAATATGGGGATTTTAGGGTTTTGGGTAAGTGTGAATGTTTAACTCTTAGAGATGTTTTGTGCCTTAAGATATCTTGTAATGAGAGAAGCACGGGCATCCTTCAGTTTATTGTGCCTCGCTTCTTTGCAGTTTGTAGGTACCGTGTTGTCTTAATACGTTGAAGGTTTGTGGCAGCCCTGCGCTGAGCATGTCTGTGGGCACCATTTTTTCCACGGCAGGGACTCGGTGTCTGTCACGTTTGGCTAAACCTCATGGTGTTTGGAAGAGACTACTCGGACTCATTGGTAGAGACTCGGACTCATTGAAGAGACCACTCGGACTCACAAGCTGGCCCTGCAGAGGGTTGATGGGGCTGGGAATCAAATGGGAGGAGATTGCCCGTCCTCCTGTCAGTGAGCTGTTGGCAGACCTGAACCTGGGGAGTTTGACAGCCTTGAGGTTAGCAGCACAATTCTCAAGGGCTCAGAGCTTCTTAACAGACTGCAGTGTAAGCCTGACTCTTACATGCACTGCAGAACCCCAGCGTTCTTGCGGCTCACTTGACTGTGATGTTGGCTTTACTGTGGTGTCTGGAACCAAACCCCCAGTGTCTCCGCAGTTTGCTTGAATGAATCATGAACTCAGGTTGAATGCCCCACCGTCTGGCGTGTCCCACTTTGCTTCCTCACCCTGCCCTGTGTTTGCTTTCTTCTGGTGGTGGTTGGAGTTTTCATGGCTTCCTCTGCTTCCCTAGGGAACCCCCGTGTTCGTGCATGCCGGCCCCTTTGCGAACATTGCTCACGGCAACTCTTCAGTGCTGGCTGATAAAATTGCTCTGAAGCTGGTTGGTGAAGAAGGATTTGTGGGTAAGTCAACTTTTTTTCAGTGTAGCAGGAAAATGGTAGAGAACTTGAAAGGTGGCGGCTGTAACCAAAACCAAGTGTTATGTTTATAGTCTGGAGGGTCTACCTTTTCCAGGTAATCTCAGCATTGGAAAAGCCTTACGGTCTAAGGGAGCTCTGGTGGCCTAGTGGTAAAAAGGTGCGCTGCAATCCCCAAGGCGCACAGCTCAAGCCCACCATCTGCTCTGTGGAGAAAGGATGGGCAGTCTCCTCCCGTGACATTAACTGCCTCTGTAAACCCACTGGGTGGTTGACTGTGGCTTGGTTCCGACTTGATGGCACTGCCACTACCACAACAACAAAGCCAGCACCACTAGTTGAACCATGAGGCACAACGTCAAGGGTCTGTGGGTTTGAGTAGAAGGTGATAGTTGTTGTTGGCCTTGGATCAGAACTTCAAATTGGTTTCTTCTAGTTCAGCTTTTTTTTTTTTTTTGAGAATTTGCATTCCAGTGTGGCTATTTGGAATCAACAAGATCTATGTCTAGCTTAAGAATCATGTGGAAATCTGGCTAAAAAGTAAACTCTGATTGAGTGTGTCTGGGGTGGAACTACAAATTCTCAGCAGGGGTCAAATGGTAACGAGCTTGTTGGAAACCTTGCCGTGGGCACCTTGGTAATATCTCTGGGGGTCAGTATTTTCATCTGGAAACTTTCTGGGGTGAGTGTGAAAACAAAATGAGAGTGTGCAAATGTTTTCCAGCAAATGTTTATTGAGAACTTACACATGTTATTGATGAGCCTTCCTCCAATCCTGATGCCACACTCCTCCTCATAAAGCCCAACCTCCCAAATGATCTGTTCCGCATATAGATTGAAAAGGCATGGAGACAGGACACATCCCTGACGTACTCCTTTCCTGGTTTTGAACCATGCAATGAATGCTTTTTTGCTCTATTCTGAAGACTGCTTCCTTTTCCGAGTATAGGTTTCACAAAAGCATGGGCACGTGTTCTAGTATCCCTGTTCTACTGAAGGTTAAGCACAGTTTGTTGTGATGCGTACAGTCAAATACCTTTGCATAGTCAAGGGGATGAAGATAGGCATTCCTCTGGCGGTCTTTATCCATCTGACATTGGTGCCAGGAATGTGTAAGACACAATATACATGAATGAAACAGTGTATACGAATTCTGTATGCAAATCATTATTTTTTTAAAAATCCTCATTTATTTTTTTTTTTTAAAAAAAACCACACACAACAAAAAAACAAACCCAACAAGCCATTACTCATAGTAGAGACACTATTGAGAACTTGATTCTGTCTGATATGATCCAGCGGAGGATAGATTCCAATCCAGGAGATCTGGGCATTTAATTGTAGATGCCAGAGATTTTGCAGCTGTCAGATTCTTCTGTGTGGCCCCCTGCCCACTTTGTATCATTTGTTAACTAGTTTAGTCTAAAGAAGAGATGTAGTCTAGTCTTTGTTCACTCAGTGCCCACCCTAATTCCACCTATGATTTTAAGATAGTGAGAAAATGAAAGATAAGAGGAAAATAGAAGCCTACGCAAGAAATCATAGGAGATGATGCCCTTAACCTGGCACAGAAGAGTTTACCTTGCCCAGTGTTCCCACATCGATGGGTTTTCCCATCAGCCCCGCACACACCTGTCATCAAGCATGGCTGTTACTTTCACACTCATACACAGCAATCCAGTTTTCTGTTAACAAAGATCCTATTGGACCAAAGAACTTGTCTGTGCACTTTTCTGCGTGGACATTAGAAAGTTCATTCAGGGTTACTTAGACTGTTTCAAGAAGTCTTTATTGACTTTATATCACTTCCTCCAAAGCCGGCTGTACACAGTCCTCCTGTGCATGGCTGCTTCAGCTTTCGGTGCTCTGTTAGCATGGTCAGGCTTGGTGGCTAAATGGATTTGCTTGATTGATCGCTGCTTAATTGTTGAGCTAATGGACAAGGAGGCTGGCGGAGGGCGGGCATTGAAGACGTAGGTGCTCGTGTAAAGTGGTGAGTCTAATGCATCAGCTGTACACGGAGAGAGAGCTTACAGGAGACAGCTCCATTTTCCGCTGAGCTTGCTCCTGTCTCTTCATCAATCCTTGCTTTGTCAAGCACACATTTAGGATCCGTGCAGTCAGGGGGCGATATCTTTAAAGTTATGGGCTGGTGATGGATGCAGAGTGTATGCCTCTCCTCATGAACTCAGAGAGCCATTAGCCTCACTGAGTGTGTCCCGTATAGATGTTTTTATCTGAAAAATGATGAGGATGGGTTGGGTAGCTCACATCGCCCGAGGTGGAAGCTGTCCAATCACAAGCTGTTAGGACTAGAGGCAAATCATTTAATTTTTCTCAGGCTCAGGAAACCCTTATTAAAATCAGAAAACAGTTATGTTGTGGTATTTTAATGAGGATTAAATGACTAAGTACTTTATGAAGCATAGAGAATTATGGAAATGTGATGTTATTTCCATGATCACTTCCAGTTTTGAGAGGTTACAGGGGAAGAAGGAATTTATTTACAGTGAAATGTTTCTTTCTAGGTGATTTAGAGGGCGAGCTGTAGAAGAGCCGGAGTAGAGGGCTTAACGTTCATCGAGTTGTATAAACTTGGGCAAGTTAACCTCTCTATGCCTGTTTCCTTAAATGAAACTATTTTTAATAGAATTTACCTTATACATATGAAGTAAGAATTAAATGCCATACTGTACATCAAGTTCAGACATTTAGTAAGTTTGTTAATTTTAGAAGAAGACTCTTTAAAAGACACAGCAAGCATTTGTATATTTGCTGTACTGAACAATTTGGAGTTGCTATGATGCTGAACACTGTTCCATAGTCGTTTCAAATACCATAATGGTTTCCCATTATGTACAATGGTTGGATGAGCTTCCAGATTGGTTCATGTTGGGAAGCAGGAGTGGCATCCACTTCCTAAACTAGTTGCCCCTGGAAACTCTACAAACTCTCTTATAAATGTGCAGAAATGATGTTAATAATAGAACAGAGTTCAGGTCTTTTGTGCAAAGCTTACTCTGAGTCATATGTGACTTGACAACACCTAACCACTGCTAAATGAGATTCATGCTGTTACATCTGGAGGAACATTCTTCCACTTTTCACATCTCTTTGTCACTGTGCTATATGAGGTAATGATGCTGAATCTTGTGCCACTTGGATATCAAATACGAGAATGATTTCCCATTATGGACAGTGTTTGGTAGAACACCCAGTTGTAAAACACATTTGGAAGCAGGAGTGGCATCCAATTCCTAAACCACATACCTCTGAAAATTCTGTGAACTTGGAGAAACAATGATAGCTATGGAAAGGCATTAGATCTTCTGTTCATAGAGTCACTATGAGTCAACCTCGACTCAGTGGCAATCAGTAACAACAACCCATGAAGTAGGAATTAATGCCATACTGGACATCAAGTTCTGACATTTAGTAAGCACTGGATAATTCTTACCCACTATTTGTACCGGTGACCATGAATATGACACAAACGCAATGCATTGCCACCTTCTGTGGCGTTAGAGGCTTTAAACAGATGGTTTAATGGTAAGAAGTTGCGCTGCCAACCCAAAGGCTTTTGAATCCTCCAGCTGTTCTGTGGGAGAAAGACGAATAGTCTCCTCCTGTGCGAGCTCCTGCCTCTGAAAACGCGCTATGAATTGAGGAGATGGACCGTCTTCTCCCTCGGAGCAGCTGGTGGATGCTTCCCGTCTGTTAGTCGTAACTCCTTACCCACTAAGCCACGAGAAGCCCCTCAAGACTGTCGCGTGGTTGAAGCTAATGTCTCCCATCCAGTCTGGTTGTGCGTGGTCCTTATGTGTGGTTGATGCTGTGGTCCGATAAGTGGGAGCAGACTGAAGAGCTGAGGTTTGAGGGGGCGGCGATAGCTGTGAGGCGTTCACCTGCACACCACTTCCCAGGGTGCTTCGTGAGCTGCTGGCGACTGCCGAGGCCCCCTTGGATTGTGGCCCATGACGTTTTTGGCTAGAAACGTGCAAGACCCTGGGCAGCCCCTCATCCTGGGGATTTCCCAGGAAGTGGGTTTCATCGATGGAAGTCATAATAAAAACCCTAAAGTGATTTCTCTCAGTCATCTGCCTTTTATATTGTTTATTATATTAACTGCATGCTCTTTTTTATACAACCATTAGACAACAGTGCTTTTGTAAATCTATGTAGACTGTAAGACTCCAGTGCTATGCAGGTGGGACTCTCACGGAGGTGGTAGATAGACACTCAGTGCACTTGCATGTAGGACGCAGAGTCAGTGCCTTGAACCACAGACATAAGGCATAATGGGAACCCATTCTTCCTCATGGCCTGTTCAAACCTGCCCTGTGGGGCCACTTCATTCCTTGTTCTTATGCCAAATTTCTGGTAGCACCCCCTCACTCAGCTAATACCAGGTACCTCTAAAAGGTGAGAGAAAAAGAAAGAATTCTGTCAGTTATTTAAAATGACAGTTACAGCTTCTTTTTTAAAATTTTTATTATTTTTTTTTCTGTGTGTGTGTGTGTGTGTGTGTGTACCATCAAATCGGATCTGACTGGTACAGGAGGAGATTGTCCCTCCTTCTCCAGCAGAGCACCTGGTGGATTCAAACTGTGTGCTTCTAGGATTGCAGTGCAGCTTCTTGTCACTAGACCACCAGAGCTCCCTTACAGCTTCTTTTTAATAATATGTATTGGCGTCTACCAGTTGCTCTATAAGAGAACTATTCTGACAGTTGGCCACCATGAAGATTAAGTGCCTTGGAGCTTTCGAGCTTCCACTGGATTGACTGGACGGTTGGTGTAGTCGCATAGGAAAGTCAGAATCTCCAGATTCCATCCCGTTTTATCCATGAGAGGAGGACAGGGGCTCACCACTTTTCTCTATGCACTTTTTACAGTCAAGTCTGTGGCATTCAGTACCTTCCCAGCTCCTTCCAGCTGAGGCCCCGTCCGTGAGATGCCTTCCTGAGGCACATTCCTGCCTTGTTC